TGTTATTACTCGTACATTATATTTGAATTATTACAAAAAGTACATAGCTCTCCATCCAGCGACCATCAACCATTCAAAAATATTTATAAAATATATTAAGAATAAATGTGCCACGACTCCAGTTGGAATCAACACATTTGGTAAGATGCCTGCCAATATTGCTAAATTTCTAAATTTGCCCGATTCTCATCTTTATACTGGACATTCCTTCCGAAGATCCTCGGATAGTTTGCTGGCAGATTCTGGGGCTAATCTTAATAAAACTAAGCGATACGGTGGATGGAAGCTCCGTACCGTAGGGGAGGGTTATACAGGGTCCGGCAATAGTGCGTCGGGCAGCTGTAGCTCCTAGAATAAAAAAACTTGGGAATTTTGTTTAAGTGCAAACCTAAAGTATGTACCAGGATGTATTTTAGGAAAATATTTTAACTTCTATAGGGTGGCTCAAAAAAGTGTGAGTGGATCGGGATGATTTTTTTTAAATGGAACACCCTGTATATTATTGCATTTTTGGCTTCCTTTCAGATCACTTAAGATAATCCTAAGACATGAGTAATTATATTTCGATAATTTCTGAGATATTAATAAATAAATAAAAATTATATATTTTTCAGCCATTCTTAAAAAAAATGATTAATAATACAAGAACTGTCCTGAAATCGAAACTATATTAGATATTTACTTTAGATGGTCTGTACTTACTTTCCTATAAATATGAAAATCGTAAATCATACAGGATGTTCAAAATTCTACGCTAAACTTTCTAAAATATAAAACAATTTTACTTTGTTTTTTTAAATGGAATACCCTGTATATTATTTTTTCAGTAGATGGAGAATTAAAAAATTAACATTTTTTGTATTTAGAGTATTTCAAAAATTTTAACGGTTTCGCAGATATTCCCGGTTTTGTATTTCATATGGCATTTTCCACAGTAAATTTTTATCAAAGCCACCCAATGATTTTTCTCTCGTATTTTACCATTGAAAGCGCCATATGAAATATTGCGTGAATCCGAAAAACTATTAAAAATTTTAAAATACTTTAAATACAAAAAATGTTCATTTTTTAATTCTCCATCAAATAAAAAAATAATATACATTGTCTTTTATTTAAAAAAATCAAGAAAAATTATTTTATATTTTTGAAAGTTTGGCGTAAAATATTGAACATCCTGTATGATTTACGATTACCATATTTATAGTAAAGTAAGAACAGATCATCTAAAGTAAATATCTAATATAGTTTTGATTTCAGAACAGTTCTTGTATTTTTAATATTTTTTTTAATAATGGTTGAAAAATATATATTGTTACGGATTCCGTGGGTCCACTATTTAAACTCACGATAAAATACTTAACGAATTTATTTTCTCACTTTATACACAATTACTAACTGATAACACACAACAAACTAACTATTTATAAGATTCCTTCACCAAATTGTCCGATTTTCAATTTCCACGCGGTATATTCAAATTTCAAAAACTGTCTCAGTTGTCGATGGCTCCGGCTTATATACTCTATTGACTGCTTCTCGAAATTTCCCCAATTCTCGGAAAGCGTACTTCTTCATACCAGACAATTCTATTGTCTGATTCCCTTACTTCTCGACTTGACTAAAAGATGGCGCCTGAAAAAGTCTTTTTAATTTCTGGCGGATACGTTGCGGTTGTGCAGGCAACCAGTAATACATTTTAATTTCTGGCGGATGCGCCATTTTTCTTGACACATTGCCCCCTTCTCAAATTTGATCGTCCCGATCAAGGTTTCCTGTCTGGTATCTCTTCAATCGATCCAGATGAACTACTTTCATCTTACTTCTAGGGCTGCGTTGAATCCGGTACACAACATCATTTATCCTCTTGATGACTGTATAAGGACCTTCCCATGCTGGAGTTAACTTTGGGGACCTCCCTTTCTTGCGCTGTGGGTTATATAACCATACCATATCGTCCTGTTGAAATCCCGTAGAATTGGCTCTGAGGTCGTAACGAGCTTTCATCCGGTCACTGGCTAGCGTAATCTTACTTCTTACGGCCTTATGAATTTCCATTAACCTTTCCTTCAGTTCATCCGCGTAGTCCTCTACATTTGTGGTGCCGTCGTCTGGTGATCCGAACACCAAGTCACAAGGCAACCGTAATTCTCGACCAAATAAAATCTTCGATGGTGAAAGTCCGGTGGTGTTGTGAACTGCACTTCTATACGCCATTAGGAACAGCGGTATGTGTTGATCCCAATCTCTTTGATGTTCGGCCACCATTTTCGAGAGGTGTTCTTCAATGGTCTTATTGAATCTTTCGACCATCCCATCAGACTGCGGATGTAAAGCTGTTGTCCTAGTCTTGTGAATACCAAGCAGATCACACATCTTCTGGAACAGTCTTGACTCGAAGTTCCTTCCTTGGTCAGTGTGAAGCTCTAAGGGAATTCCAAATCTACTGAAGACATTATTGACTAATACTTCAGCTACAGTCGATGCTTCTTGGTTTGGAATGGCAAAAACTTCTGGCCATTTACTGAAATAATCCATCGCCACTAAAACGTACTTGTTGCCCTTGTGCGTTTCAGGGAATGGGCCTGCAATGTCAACAGCGATTCTTTCGAATGGCAGTCCAACGTTATATTGTTTCATTTTTCCCCTAGATCGAGTGCTTGGTCCTTGGCTGGCTGCACAAATTTTACATTGTCGACACCATTTCTTGACATCTTCGCAATAATCCACCCAGTAAAAGCGATCTCTCAGCTTGCTCAAGGTCTTGTTTACCCCAAGATGGGCTCCAGTTTTACCACCGTGAATTTCTTCCAATACCTGGGTAACTTTCTTCCTTGGTACCAGTAACTGAGTTGTTACTGTGCTGCCATCCGCACTTTCCCATGTGCGCTTTAACAATCCATTCTCAATAACCAGTGAATTCCACTGAGCCCAGAGAGCTTTGAAAACGAGCCCTCTGTCCGCAATATCCTGCCACGGTGGTCTCTCGCCGTTACCTTCCTTGAGCCGTAGTATTGCTCCGATGTCTGGATCTTCCATTTGATCTTTCCTCAATTTGTCGTCGTCCACTGTTCATCAGCTCCAAGCTTAAAACTCCTTATTCTGATAGTGCTTTCGCGATGTTTCATTTTCTTGTCCAAGGTAGCTCGTCGTCGATCTAGGTCGTTGTCGATAATTTGTACCCGTCCTACACGGCACCCAACGGTTTTCTCTAGTTTCCCGAACACAGTCTTCTTGGTATCACCAGGTATCATCACAATTTTCGATAATATTTCTTCCATATTTCCTGGTCTCTTCTCTTTAGATACAGAAAATTCCTCATTTCCGATTTTCAGGATGTTTCTATGGTGATCAAACGAAAAACCATGTTGACTGATCACATCCATACCCATGATAAAATCATCTTCAATGTCCGCCACTAAAACGCTATGCCGAAACTTCAAATTCCCTAACTCCAATTCCATGAAAGCCTCTCCCCGTACAACGGCCATTTCCCCCGTAACTGTACGTAAATACACTCTTCTTCTAAGAGGCATCATCTTCAATCCTCGCACTGAGTTAGTCTGCACCAACGATACCATAGCGCCTGTGTCCACAGTCATTCGATTTCTTCTACCATTGACCTTCCCGTTGATCACCAAACTGTCAGCGGTTTTTCCTAGACTCCTAACGGAAAACATCCTAGGGGCTCTGTTTTCTTCAGCCAATACTCGCTCATTAGTGTTGATTTCCTGGTGCCTATGTTCTCTCGATGGTAAACGGAATCGCATTTGGACGCGGCAATCCCGTTTGATGTGGCCATTCCTGCCACATCTATAGCAACTTATGTCCTGGGATCTTCCGATGTGCCGATGTTCTCTGGATGGTGAATGGAATCGCATTTCCGACACCAATTGTTACGGATTCCGTGGGTCCACTATTTAAACTCACGATAAAATACTTAACGAATTTATTTTCTCACTTTATACACAATTACTAACTGATAACACACAACAAACTAACTATTTATAAGATTCCTTCACCAAATTGTCCGATTTTCAATTTCCACGCGGTATATTCAAATTTCAAAAACTGTCTCAGTTGTCGATGGCTCCGGCTTATATACTCTATTGACTGCTTCTCGAAATTTCCCCAATTCTCGGAAAGCGTACTTCTTCATACCAGACAATTCTATTGTCTGATTCCCTTACTTCTCGACTTGACTAAAAGATGGCGCCTGAAAAAGTCTTTTAATTTCTGGCGGATACGTTGCGGTTGTGCAGGCAACCAGTAATACATTTTTAATTTCTGGCGGATGCGCCATTTTTCTTGACAATATTTTTGATTTATTTATTAATATCTCTGAAACTATCGACATAGATTTACTCATATCTTAGGGTTATGTAATATGATCTGAAAGGAAGCCAAAAATGCAATAATATACAGGGTGTTCTATTTAAAAAAAATCATCCCGATCCAGTCACACTTTTTTGAGCCACTCTATAGAAGTTAAAATATTTTCCTGAAATTCATCCTGGTACATACTTTAGGTCTGCACTTAAACAAAATTCTGAAGTTTTTTATTCTAGGAGCTACAGATGCCCGACGCACTATTGCCGGACCCTGTATAGAAGGTTCTTTACAAAATAAAACGAATACTGCAGGTCAAATTTTAACCAGAACCTCATCGAATACTAGCATTGCATCTTGGTACAAGATTCACGTCAGAGATCAAACTTCTACTTGTACTACAGTTATAAATGAAACTGGCCATGGAATAACTTATTCCAATTGTAATTTCACTAATTGTACATTTAATTTGAGTAAATAATTATTTTACATTGACTTGATTTTTCTTATTTTTTTTTTCAATTATCGCTTCAGTGTTAAAAGTAAATCACGTGCACCAGTGCTAAAAGTAAATGACTTTTACCATCAGTAACATCATGTCACATTTTAGGCACTGACATCATGCGTTAAAAATTTCATTTTTACTGACGTTTGTAGAAAAAAGTAGTTTTTACCTTATTCCTTGAATGGGTCGTAACTTCTCCAATTCCTTATTACTATTGACTGTTTTCAACCTTATCCAGTTTTTGGTAATAGAAAAAGCGGACAATAATTTTCCTTTAGGAGTTTCCATTAGTTTATCGTATACTTCTTTGGATTCATACCGAGCTACACCCTCATAATATGTAGCATAGAATACAAACGCTACATAAACCACAAAAACTACACTAAAAATGAAATTAAAAATAAATATATATATTTACAAGTAAACATTTTAAATACCAGTATTTATGCATTTAGAGAATTAAGCATACTATACTATACCGGGTGTTTTTGAAAACCCTATAACTTTTTATTTTTTTCTGGCAAAAAATACGAGATTTGGTATGTTAGTATATGACCTATATCAAGATTGATTGACGTATTCAATTGTTTTCGGTCACTTCCTGTATTACCGGAAATTGCTACAAATTTTGGTATCTTCCTGTATTACCGGAAATTGTTACAAACCCTCGGTATGTTTTTAGTTTATCCCTTTGAATAAGAAGACTAAGGAAGGAGCATAATGCTATCCATGTATTCATGCATGGTGGGCGGAAAAAGGACTCTAGGGTGGGGATCCTTGACAGTTCTGTTTGAAGATTCATTTGACACATTTGAATTTGATTTGAAATTTTGTGGATTTGTCAGTCTTTACGGAGCTTATTTTATGTTATTTATAACTTATTCTACTACTGATAGTTGTATAAAGTTAGTAAATCTAGATGGAAATTGTGGCGGAACTTAAATTAACAGTGACACTATCGCGGTTTATCGAAAAAGACTCTAAAATAGTTGGTTCTGTAGCGTGCGTTAAATCTCGGCAAAAATCGAGTGAAATAATGGAACAACTTTTCGCTAGTAAGTGACTATATAATATACATACGTGTAGTAAACCGATCATTTATGAAATTCATTTAAATTAACTAATTATATATTTTTTTCTTGCATTTTTGCTTTTATTTACTACTTGTCAAAGATTAGATGTCAAAGAATTTAGATACGTCAAATTGACTTACCTGCTTCAATAGCGTATCGGATGTTTGTGGTAATAAATAATTATTATAACTTATCTATTTTTATTAGAATTTTATATTTTTATAACAGCTTTAATAACTACCAACATTTATTCACAACGTAAAATAAACTAAGAAATTATTAAGTCTACCCCCATATCTACCCTAAATCATAGTTTTACATTTTTTAAATAAAATTAGAACGGCACTGATAAACCGGAATTTAAGTCGGCCATATTTGAGGCACATCGCGGTGGACCTAAGATTTTTGATATGCTCCTTCCTTAGTCTTCTTATTCAAAGGTTTATCCAGTAGAAAATGACATTTTGAATAGAATGACATAACATATGTCAACTTTTGAGAATTCCAGTTTACTATTTTTTTACAAAAAATAGTATTTCAAATTCCAATATAGAGTGCCATGTTGTAAGTATGTTGGAATCATAAATATTATCAATCAGAATACTAAAACTTCTATTAACGACTTACCCACATGTTATATCTAACCAATCAATTGGGTATTTTGGATCCTGTGTTTCGCAACTTATTTTGATCACTTTTCCCTTCAGTCCCCGTATTGTGAACTTGCTATCATAACAATCCTGGATACCTTTCCATAATTTTGGATCGTCATCTGATGCTTTGGACACATTAGGGCAAGTGAACGGCACGCATATACTATGCCTCAAGTTGTCGTGTCTGTAGTTTGTCGATACATTGCTTACTTTCTATATAACAATATTGGTTTAAAATTATCATCAAATATGGTTCGAACAAAAAATTTAACAAATTATTTTTAGTATATGGCCCTTTATAAACTATGCAAAATCTGCATAAAACTTTTTTCATATCTTCGACAACAACGACGATATTGGACTTCCTCGCACTAATGGGCCACCCTGTATATCAATATAGAATGGCTCTAGCCAGTGGTAATTTTCTTTAAATAGCACATTGTCGTAGGCTTAAATTTGATGGTGCCCAACGAAATTCAAAAACAAATAAAAAAACCTAGGTGTATCTATCTTAAATTTTTCACAACTCTTTTAACAGATTTCTGGAATATGTAGGGGTACATATACTTTGCTAAGACAACTTAACTTAAACACAGCTCAGGATCTCTACTAAAGAAATCAACCGAAGAATGAAGTTAGCATGGAGTACTTATGAAAGAAACGCGATCATATTCATATCTAGAATGCAACTTTATTTAATGAAGAAAACATTAGACCTATGTGTATTACCAGTCATGACATACGCATGCGAAACCTCGACACTTTAAAAAACAAATTACGGACATTATAAAGAAACTGCAGGTCGTACAACGCTGAATGAAACAAAATATGCTGGGAATAACCACATAAAGACGAATACAGCATACATACAGTAAATGAATACAGCGTTTACGACAAAAGGATCCAGGTAATAGATGTCATCTACAGAATCAAATCCCTCAAATGGCAATGGGCAGGATACCTGGCAAGAAGAACGGACAACAGATGGACCACAAAAATATCAGCATGGTACCTACGAGGAATGAAGAGACCTAGAGGAAGACCGAACCCGTGAGGGGACCATGATATTAGAGAATTAGCAGGGATAACTTGGTATGAATGCACATAGCCAGCATAGACAACAATGGGCACAACTACAAATAGAGTATCTGAATATGTGAGGGAGACTACACAATAAATGGTTGAATATGATGATGATGATAATGATAGTTTGCTATTACGGATTATATATAATTACCTCTATGATATTCCATACTTCTGGGGAGTTTGTACGATCCAAGGGTTCCAATTGGTACGTAAAGGTGCAGTAAAAAGCTTTTTCTTTTAACAGCATACATTTGTCAAAATTATCTTGATAGAACAAGTCCGGCATGGATACATATTCCTCATCTGTAAATAAAAACAGTTTTAAAACACGAATTATTTTCTAATATTTTTGAATTCATTTAGAAGACAAGAAAATGTCATTATTCAATTGTCTTCAAACTCTTATCAGTTGATTTAAATCATGTTTTAGGTATTTCAAAAAAAAAACAAGGAAACTAGTAGAATACAACATAAGAAGATTCTTTCAAACACAAAATACACTTAGATCCAAACCACACTAAACCAATGAACACTGAACAACAAAAAAGAAATGTGAAAAATAAAAGAGGCTTCTTAATTCAATCTAATATAAATAAATGTATTGGTCAAGCATTTATAGAGGGGTTAGTAATATAAGGCCAATATTACTATACAGGGTGTTTCAAAACAAATGCGAAAAACTTCAGGGGGTGATTCCTTGTTCAAAATAAAGGGTAGTTTCCTTTATAAACGTTGGGTCAAAAGTCAACCATTAGGGAGATATCGCGGTACAAAGATGGCGGAAAAATAATGTTCTTATTTTTTATCTTGAAAACGAAAAGAGATAGACTAACGAAATTTTATGGAAGCATTACTGTTATGAAAACACACTTTCTGGTAATTTTTTCACTTTTTTAAAATGAGTGGAAGGGGTTGAAATAAACTACCCCTATCATTCTTGTTAACGAAATTTAAAGAAAAATCTTATCAAACACATGCAAAAAAATTAATTTGGATAGTTCAGTTTGTTTAGAATTTTTTTTATCTCTTGTATTTTTTTATAAAACTCACCGATTTGAAATTAAAAAATAAAATGTAAAGCATTACATGTCAGGACTAAAACATCCTAAAAAGTGACAGCGGCCGACTAGATTTTTTTCTAAAAAAATTACAGCTGCCCACTAGATTCTTTATCTAAAAATGGTTTTTGTCCTGACATTTAATGCTTTACATTTTATTTTTTAATTTCAAATCGGTGAGTTTTATCAAAAAAACACAAGAGATAAAAAAGTTTCTAAATAAACTAAACTATCAGAATTATTTTTTTTGCATGTGTTTGATAAGATTTTTCTTTAAATTTCATTAACAAGAATGATAGGGGTAGTTTATTTCAACCTCTTCCACTCATTTTAAAAAAGTGAAAAAACTACCAGAAAGTGTGTTTTCATAACAGTAATGCTTCCGTAAAATTACATTAGTCTATCTCTTTTCGTTTTCAAGATAAAAAATAAAAACATTATTTTTCCGCCATCTTTGTACCGCGATATCTCCCTAATGGTTGACTTTTGACCCAACGTTTATAAAGCAAACTACCCTTTATTTTGAACAAGGAATCACCCCCTGAAGTTTTTCGCATTTGTTTTGAAACACCCTGTATAAACAACATAAATAATCGAAGTAAAAATTAAAACCAACCACATTTAGAAAGTTTAAAACTCTTTGGTTTTATCTCATTTGGTTTTATCTCATTAAAAGTAATTGTTATCAGGGAGTAACTGTTAAATCTTTGACTTGGCAAATTAGACATAATCCTCTAAAGTAATAATTACACTTTACTTACCAGTGACTTGACCATAATTGTATTTAACAAGAACAAATAAAACTAAAAGAAAATTCTCTTTTAATTTCCCCATTTCGCACTTCTTTCAATACTAAGAAACTTAAAATTAAATTTGTTATTATGGCTCCGTGAACGATATTCTATAATCCATTAAAGTAAAAAGTTGTTTTTATCTATACATTTCATTTAATCAATTATAACTTTTTGTTTATAATCAACATAGAAAATCAATTAAAACAATACAGATGCTTAGTATAATTAACATTATGACATATTATGCAAAAATCATTTAAAAAAACTAAAAAAAACATATTTTAAATTAATAATCATTAGGAATTCAGCTAAAAATGTATCGGTTATGCACCTTTATGTAACTTAACCCTTTATAGGGCAGTAGGTACTAAATATTTTCTAGTTTGATGAAAATTGACTTCATAAATATACAGGGTGTCCCAGAAATGTAAGTATTTTAAAGGATAGTAGATCTCGATAAAAGAAACATATTTTCTCTTTATCGTTTTCCAAATAAGCCCAAAATAACGGAGTTATTTTACTCTTAAAAATGCTAAAATTTTGAGAATCACTGGATCTTTTCTGGTATATTTTATATAATACCTATATTGCCATATTATCAAGAAATTATGTTTTTTAACTAAAAACTAAAATAAAAATCCAAAAAATTTCGAATTTTCAAATTTTTTTTCACGAAAAAAACTCATAGGAGTATTTCTGGGGTTGAACAATAATAATAATAATAATAAATGCCTTTATTGTCAAATTTTCCAATTTGTAGACAAAGGTAAACTAACAGGTAAATGACAGGTGATTGTGCATTTTTTTCGAGTTGTATAATATTGAATTTTTAATTAAGTCTGAGCGTGGGGTAGGTAGATAAAGATCTTGCTCCGCGTTCCTGAGTGGATAAGTGTGAGATGATCTTTTTTGAGAAGCTGATACATGTTTACGTATTAGGCAAACGGATTCAAATATAAATAAGGAAGGAAGAGTCAATATTTTTAATTTTTTAAAAAAATCCCGGCAATGAGTTCTGATCTTTAGTCCCAGTGAATATCGAACAGCTCTCTTCTGGAGCCTGAAAATGCAGTCAAATTGATCGCACAACACGTACCCCAGAATGGAAGGGCATATCTGAGGTGCGAGTCAAAAAGTGCATAATAAACAGTTCTAGCCACTGACAAGTTAAGCTCCTTAGAAACAGACCTTAATGCAAAACAGGCAGAGCTCATTTTTTTTGGACAAAGCTTCGATATGTATGTCCCATTTCAGAGAATTGTCCACAACAAGCCCTAAGAATTTTACAGATTTGACGACGTCAATGATGGTGTACTTAACAAAGTACAAAAGGCTGCAACGAGTTTTTATACGCCAAAGCTTTAGTTTTAGAAATGTTGAGACTCAGGAGGTTCGAATCGCACCAAGACTTAATGGTAATTAAGTCATTTGATATAATCCTATGAAGTGCCGTGATGTCCTTGTTGCTCCAAGTGAAGCTAGTGTCGTCCGCAAAAAGACATATTTTGCCACTGATGTTTATGTTAATGTCGTTAAAAAAAAGAAGAAACAAAATAGGGCCTAGTACTGAGCCTTGTGGTACTCCACATTCTAATGGCTTGCTAGAAGACAACGTGGTATCCACCCTCACAAGTTGACTTCTGTTGCTCAGATACGACTTAAACCATTCGAGAGATGATCCCCTGAACCCATAGTGCTGCAGTTTATTAATTAAGATCTTATGATTTACACAATCGAACGCCTTAGAAAAATCACAGAAAATTGTTGCTGTAGAATGATGGTTGTTTAGGCTGGAGTAAACTTTATTAAGGAGGGAAAACATAGCGTCATTTGTGGACTTGTTGCTTAGAAATCCAAATTGATATTCAGTAAGTATTTTGTACTTAAACAGAAAAGATACCAGCCTTCTTTTAACCAACCTTTCTATGATCTTAGATAGCGTTGGAAGGAGTGCAATTGGGCGATAGTTAGAAGCTTCATCTTTGTCTCCTCCTTTATGCAGAGGAATGATTATAGCCGTCTTAAGACATTTTGGAAAAATACCATTTTGGAACGACATGTTTATTAAAGTTTATTAAAATCGGATAAGAACTATTGGAATATGTAGCGGAATTTAATTACCTCAGCAGTTTGATGTCGGAAAAGGCCAATATCGACTCTGAAATTCAGCACAGGATTAGCAGCGCCTCAAGAGCATTCTGGAAATTAAAAGACAGGGTTTTCTACAATCATGACTTGAGTACAAAAACGAAACTTGCAGTGTACCGAGCAATTATAATCCCCACCATGTCATATGGGAGCGAAACCTGGGTGCCGTACCGCCGACACATGAACGCATTAAACAAGTTGCAACAGAGACACCTCAGACAACTCTTAAGAATCCGGTGGTTCCATCGTGTCTCAAACGTATCGGTCCTTGAAAAAGCTAATTGCGAGAGTATTGAAGTCATGGTTACAAAATCCCGCTTAAGATGGGCTGGTCACGTATGCAGAATGCAAGAAAACCGCATACCAAAATCTCTACTTTAGTGTGAGCTTGTAGACGGTAAGAGGAGGCCGGGTGGACAACTCAAAAGGTACAAGGACATTTTCCACGAAAACTTAAAGGGGATTAACATGCAGAATCATTAGCATGAAGCAGTTCACAATAGAACTCAATGGAGAAGAATTGTAAACTCAGTTAACAGCGACAACCAAAAAGTAAAGAGGCAACAAACCAATAAGATTTTTGAATGTCCGGAGTGCGGTAGGCAAATAACATTACGTATCGGTCTTTTCAGTCACAGAAAAGCTCATGAAAGAAAATGCCTTGCGTGACCATCTTTTGATGCGTGTCGAATGCTCGTCAGCGAGTAATGGCAGTATAAACTGTATGTCTAATTCAATATAAAAAAAAAGTTTAAGTTCATTTTGATTATCTCTGTTAGCTCTCTACTCAAAAATATGCCTATATCAAGTAAATCAAATTTTGTTTACCGAGTATGCCTGCCGAGCTTGTTCGATGCGACATTTAATTTCCTTGTCTGATGTCCAATCTTCGGAGAGCCAGATGCCCAAGTACTTAAATTTATCTACTCTTTCAATGGGCCTTCAGTTAAATGTTAGGATGGAGTTTATAAACACATCTGGGTTTCTGGATATAATTATAAATTTGGTTTTCTTGATGTTGATGTTTAAACCCATTGCTTTGCTCTGTTCTCCTACCTTGTTGACCAGTTGTTGTAGGTCGTGTATAGTGTCTGCAATTAAGACCGTATCGTCGGCATAGCGGATATTACTAATTATATTATATTGTCCTCCAGAGCCTCTTGGAAAATAGCTTCTGAGTATAAATTAAATAGGAGTGGAGACAGCACGCAACCCTGTCGCACCCCCCTTCTAACTTGTATGGGATTGGACATGGTATTGGACAATTTTATTTGTGCTGTTTGGTTCCAGTGTAACTTCTCAATGCATTGGATGTCTTTATGATCTATGATCTGTACGCGATCGAATGCCTTTTCGTAGTCTATGAAACACAGGCACACATCCTTTCTCTGATCGTAGCAGTTCTGGACAAGCACCTGTGTGGCAACTATCGCTTCCCTAGTGCCTAACCCTTGTCTGAACCCCATTTGCGAATCGCTTATGTCCCTTTCACATTTTTTGTAAATTCTCCGGTGTATTATTTTCAAAAATATTTTTAGGGTATGGCTAATAAGTCTGTGATCTTCACACTTTCTGGCATTGGTCTTCTTAGGCAGGGGTATAAAAGTAGAACGCAACCACTGTTTGGGGTAGTGACCTGTCTCATATATAATATTGAATACTTTATGTAATGCTGTAATGCCTCTTTCATATAGCAGCTTAAGTATTTCTTCAGGAATTTCATCTAGCCCAGCCGCTTTGTTATTTTTCGAATTAAGTATGGCTTTTTCAATCTCATCTTTAGTGATCGATGGGCCGGTTAGTGAGTTATTGATATCAGCTGACGGTCTTTCATCGTCAAAAAGTTCTTCTATACACTTTTCCCAAACATTGTTCTTTTCTATGCTTTCGAGGACAATCTGGTTGTTATTACTGACTGTCACAGTTGATCTCACTTTTTTATATATGCCAGCAGTCTCCTTCAGCTTTTTATGCAGATTAAAATTGTCATGTTGGTTTTGCAGCTGTTCTAATTCTGAACATTCACGTTTAAGTCATTCGTTCTTTGCTATTCTAATCTTTGTTCTTATGACTCTTTGAATATCTTTGTACATGCCATCTGTTTTGTTCTTGTACATTCGACGTTCATCCATTAACAACAATATCTCATCCGTTATCCATCTTTGCTTTTTGTTTTTTGCTTCATATCCTAACCTGTTTCGCATTGAATTTGATACAATGTCCATTATCTTTGTCCAAGATTGTGTTGGTTCTTCTCCCATATTCGGTATTATTGCTTGAATTTGTGTGTTGATTTCGTCACTCATCTCCGATTTTACTATTCCCTCATTCTTTCTAACGCCATACGTCGCTGTGTGGTTGGCTTTCTTTGACTCGATAAAGCAATTTTCATTACGGCCACTAATAGCACATGGTCAGAGGGAACATCGGCGCCAGGGTAGGTGCTGGCTCTTTTGATGGTTGAGCTGAACCTTTGGTTAATGAGGATGAAATCTATTTGGTTTCGTATTACATTGTCCGGTCGGTCCGCTGGAGACTTCCAGGTATAGAGACGGCGAGAGTGAAGTTGAAACGCCGCGCCGTATTTGTTATTTTCATGCCCTCTTCTTGGCAGAATTGCAGAAGTCGATCCCCTTTCGCTCCTTTCTCCAAGACTATAGGAACCAATAATTTCCTCAAATTTACCCTTTCCTATTTTGGCATTGAAGTTACACATAATTATGTTGACGTCGTTGACATCATATATTGAGGTAGGAGGTAGGCTCCCGACCCTTGGAGGAGGTGGTAACTTGTATGCCACTTGCGGAGGATGGTCTCACGCAAGTGTCAGCCACCACTCTTGTAGTTCACTTTGGGTTTCGCCCCTTGGAACTTTCATTGTTACTGTTCCCAGTGTTGCTAGGGGGTTTCCCCACAGCTTCACC